TGGGCCACAGTGTGGCCTAAATAAGGTAAGGGAGGGGGGTTTAGCTTATTTAGGCCACACTGTGGCCCAAATAAGGTCACCCAAAAACAAATTCCTTTTGGCTGCCAAATATTGTGTTCAAATTTGAAACACAAAGCGCCAGTGAGGAGGAAAATATTTATGAAAAAAGTTGTTAAGTTTTTCGGGGATTTCTGTATATCAATACAACTCAAAGAAATTCCATTCTTTAACTTCTTTTTAGACTGGAAACTACCTTTCTATCGCATCCAAATTTACAGTTGAGACCACCAGTATTTTCTAATGGACTGCAACTAAATGTTTACCATGATTATTTGTACGGTCATCACTTTGCTTTGGAGCAGCAAGGTAAAACTATCTCGTGCCACCTGAAAAAACACTGCAGCAACAATGCTAACCTTGAGATAGTTATACTTCTGCTCCACAGCTCGAACATCCTGTTGAGCCAGTTCATCCCTCGATTCCAGCTCCTTCTCCAACTTAGCTATCCTTGATTCCAGTACCTGGGCGGTGCGGCCTTTACCCAGGTTGTTGTCAGTGACAGGATCCGGCACAGTGGCCGCTACCATCATCATAGCAGGCAGGGAGTTTGGATGCCGCCTTCGAATAACATGCTCCATCTCTTTCACCTATTGATTCAAATAATAAAGCTTAAGCTTTCATTATCAATTGCATAACAAATTAACATTATTCATCATCATCAATACAATCACCATCACTATCATCATAATCATCAACTATTTCCAAACAATTTTCCTGCTTCCTGTTTTGCTTTTTTCTCCGAAGCATAACAATTATTGCCTTGCTGACACATTTTCTTCATTCCTGATATAAATATGAAGCACCAAACCAGAAACCGGACAAGACAAAAAAAAAGTAATATACAACATTTATTATTCACTTGTAAACCTTTCAGCCTCAAGACAATTCTCAGTGTTTCAGATTTCTATTTCATACAAAATTCAAACAAAATTGCTGGTATTTCTTCTTTAAAAAAAGATCATTACTCAAAACATTTAAATACACATATGTGAGACGTGCTGACAAAATGAGTTACTTCTCATATTTTAGCCCTGTAGAAATAGATGTTTTGAATTGATAGGCTGAGTTTTTTCAATTCATTAGATGGAAATAATAAAAGACATGGTAAACTTGAAGAAAATGACATCAGTTGAGAGTCTACAAATTTACTCCTTTGTTGATTTTCTGCCGATATCTCCATTTGTGAAGTGCGAGAAGTAACTCATTTTGTCAGCACGCCCCACATATGTATGAAGAAAGAAATACAAAAAATTTTTATACTCAAAACTTAAACATCGTATTCCTTGTGACAATAAAATGATTTTTCCCCCCTTTCTTTTGTTTCTTTTCTGTCAAATGCCAGTGTCACCCGATTTGGAAGAAAAGTGCTATTCAGCAACAGACTTCAACCAGAGACCTAGCAATGTTAACGAGACAGTACAGCTTGCGGTGCTGTCCGTGACAATCAATGCTACATGCTGTGTAAGCGAAGAGGGCTGTTCTATATATAGAAGGGGTGGTAAACATACTCACATTGGGCCTGTTATTGTTCTAATGTGGGTGGACTGAACCAAGTTGTTAGAGTACTCTGAGGTTCCAAATAAAAGGGAGGGGGGCGGTAATAATAGGGGAGGGGGGGCACATTTACCAGATATCAATAAAAGGGGGAAAGGACTTCCGTAACGAGCGACTACCCCAACGAACACAATGAATATGAAGAAGAGACCGCTAGATCTAACCCTAACCCTAACCCAACCCCTAGATCTACCCCAACCCCTAGCCCTCTATTCTACTCTGTCTCATAGAGGTCGCTCGTTACGGAAGTCCTCCTAAAAAA